CAATGCAATGCAAGTTATAAAAAGAAACCTAATTAGAAATAACACTTTTTGACTGAAGGTCTGGAAGGAAACTGGGATTTTTGGATATCCACCAATAACTGTTGCTATCTGGCTCTCCTCTCAAATGAGAGACAACTAATTCATAACATACATCTGCTAGATTTCAGTTTCAATCCAAGAAATCCTCGGAACTTTGCTTTTGATGCCGTCTTTGGCGAGGACGTCACGCAGGTTCCTTTCAAAGCTTTCTTTTTTTTCAAAATAAATATCAAATCCATCTATCTTTAAAGGAGGAGGTATTTGAAGAACTTGCTAGTCGTATCATAGACGGATGTGTAGATGGTTACAATGGAACAATATTTGCTTACGGTACGTTTTGACTTCAATTCAAATATAAGTTGGCTCAGCAAACAGCAGATCTTTTATTTTCAAAAGGAAAAATGTCAACTCGAGCAAACTACCGAATAGCACTGCATTCTGCATGCTATTTTTCGATCTTTGGTTTTATTGTTTCAGCTGCCACAAAAACATTAACTCATAGAATTTAGTTACTTCTGTAACAATGTTGTTCGGTTGTGTCTATTGTTAAACTGACAATCGCTCTCCGAATAGAATCCTTTCTGGAAAGTTTACAAGATAGCAATTAATTTGATAGCGATTGATAATCCCTCATTCCATATCTAAGGGATGAAACGCGGCACAGTAAAACGTTAATCAATTTCATAAATGAATTACCACATACAGCCTAATTTACTTATGGGTTCTAAAACGTATGTGTCTAAAGAGTTTAGCCCTTATCATTTTGGAAACTAAAGTTTGTATAAGAACCATAGACATATGTACAGGCTTTGAGCTTGTTAATAAATACATGAGAAAGGTGGTACTTATCATTGACTGTACAATCAGTACGTACACAGTGTTGACAGCGATGCATAGTGCTACATTCCTTGAGAAGAATAGCGATTGTCTTATCTTCTATGGAAACCATCCTATATGACTTGTCTTTTCTATCCTTTTTTCGTTCTACTTAACAATTACCCTCGGAGGACGAAAAAATAAACAGTTATAGTGCAAATTTCATAGGCCAAACTGGATCCGGAAAGACTCACACAATGCTGGGACCACACCATATTGAAAACTTCCTCTTGGACTCGGAGCAGCGCGGGCTTATACCTCGTGCTTGCGAAGCTTTGTTCACAAAATTGTGCACTAGAGCTGCGGAGGCAAGCAAAATCATTTTTAGTCGTTTCAAATGATTTACAGATTTATTCCAGAAGGGAGAAAATTTCAAATATGAGGTGTCCTGTAAATTTGTAGAACTATACAATGAAGAATTTTATGACCTTCTTGGAAACTCTCAACAGAAATTAGCCATACGCAGTGATTCAAAGGTAGTTCCATCTTCCGGAGTTTTGTTTCAACAGTGGAAGTTTACCGAATTTGCAGATAGTGCAACTTCTTGGCGTTTCCGAGCATTCCGTTCAATCTGGTATTGATATGATGAGAGTAAGGAAACACAGCATTCTTCGAATATACAAAAACAGCTGCTAGGTTTAGATCCTCGAAATTGGATGGGATGCGAGACGAACGGCAGAAACAGCAATGAACCGCGAGTCTTCGCGATCTCATGCTATTTTCATTGTTGAGGTACTAGCATGCATAGCAAATCCACATTTATCCTGAGTATTTATGACTTGAA